GCAAGGTGGGTGTGGTAGTGCCTCCCATAATCCCAGCACTCAGGAGCTGAGGCAGAAAGATCATCATAAATTCAAGACCAACCTGGGCTAATAAGACTGCGTCTCAAAACAAAACAAAGCAAAACAAAAACACTCCAGCAACTCTACAGTCTATTGACAAAAAGAGTATTAAAATGTAATGTTTTAAATGAGCAGCTACTCTATATTCTGCGTAGAGTCCCATCCAGGATTAACATGAAGTCAATTTCTGTAAGAACAACAACTGCTGACAACTATTGAGCACGTGCCCTCTACAGGCCAGACGCTGTGCTTGGTGCTTTCATGGATACTCAGAATACAATGGATCCACAACTTAGAAACTCAATTCATTCGTGAGGGCTGGCTGGTTGTAAGTCGACTGTCTTTCCCCATAAGAAATAATGGAAATAACCATAATGCATTCCAAATCTCCTATACCACCCCTTTAGTAACCTTTTCATAACACAAAAGGGTTACATCGCGTACCAGAAACACCAATAATTTTCCTAGCGCACTCAACAAAAAGTTGTAAAATGTGCCTAGCTTATCTGAAACAATAATTTCATAGTGTATTCACCATTCAAGTTGACATCTTTGGCTTGCAGGGAGGGAAGGTGAAATGGAAGGTGGTTATTGTTTGGAAGGAGAGTCCCCTTCCATAAGAACATCAGGACTCTGGCTCTCTTTGTGTCCTTTCTCTCCTTGGGAGACTCTCTAGCCCACTAGGACCTGCTTCTGGCTTACTAGGCCTCAACCTTTTCAGAATTAAAAGCTGGTCTAAGGTTATCTGTTTTTGTCTTTTAACACTGTTCTGTAGTTTGCCATTACATTGTCATTAAGGAAGTGAATACAATGACTGGCTTTTTCTGAGTGTGTCTTCTCTACAAATGTTTGTAGCTCTGTCCGTGTTTTTAGGATTCCTTTATTTCAAAAGAACTTTACTGCACTGATTCTTGATATTCCCCGTCCACTTCAGAAAGCTCCTCAGCTGCCCTTCTGTTGCTCAGCCAGAAGTTGTTGAAGTTCACCTGTAGACAGTTCCTCTGAGTGGTCTCCACCAGTTCTCAACATCACCAGTGTCTACTTGCAAGCCTATGGACTCTGCTATAGTGACAATGTCATCAACCACAGGGTCAATTGAAGTCTCAGGCTCTTCTGCACAGCCTTCAGAGTCTGTCTACTGAATATTGTTAGGCCACACTTTCTTCCAGGGGATCTCAGTGTCCTTAGGAGACATTGGCCCAGGATTTCTAAAGTAACCCCACATGGGAAAGACCAGTATTCAGGTTGTAACTCAAGACTTTGGTTGTAAGTTAAACTAAAATTCCAGTCACAACCTGTTGTTCATATGTGAGACCTGTTGTAACTCAAAGGTCCACTGTACACCTAGACATATGCTACCTGAGATACATCTCAATAAATAAACCTACCAGATAAGAGACGCAATTGGAACCTAGATTCCCGATTTTAAAAAGAAAAATTCTCTAGAATAAAGCAAAATGGAATAGAAGGTCCCCGAAAAAGTTGACTTTTTTGTAAGATGAGATGCCTATAGCTGCTGAGAATAGTCATCAGAAAACAAAAACCAGAGCTCATCCAAACAATCCTGTGTTGCCAAGAATGGCCTCCCGCCACCCCAAGGAAGATATTGTATAAGCCCTCACCAGGCAAACAGGGCAATCTTGCTGTAGATGAAGAGCTACAAATATATCAGTGGGGCTGTGGCAAACCTGGAATTCCAAGGATCCTAGTAGTCAGTGTCTAAAAGCACATGGTGTGGGTGGGCTCAGCACACCATCCTATGACCATCCTCACTCAACTGTGGGATGCTTAGGGCAGAGACCTTCCCTTACTTTTCAGTCTACTCCCAGGATACAACATAGTTCTGGGAGCTGGAACCCAGGAGCATTTAATGAATCTTTAATGACAAATATTAGTAAGCAATCTCCTCTGGAACTCAGCTATTCCATTTACCAGGGTATGAGTGTAAAATTGAACTTTGTGCACTGTGGTCTGGAGACCTCTAGTGGCTATCTGCTGTTCATGAGAAGTCTGAAGATCGAAGGATTCCAGACAGGGAGGCCTGGCACCAGGACAAAGCTTGGAGCCCAAATCAGAGACACAAGTAAATGCCTTGGCAGAGGAATACCCTGAAGAAGTTTAAAATCAAAGTTTTTTTTTCAAAGTTTGAGAATTAAAAGATAAAATTTTAATCAATTCACCCAAATGTGATATCTACAAAAAGTTTCCTAGTAATGGATTTTATTAGAAAGTACAATAAATCTAGTCCATGTCCCCCTTTAGCACCATATGGAATTTTTTAAGATTTAGCTAAACATAGATGATTAGTACTTAAAACATTGTTATCTGAAGACCATAAAATAATAAAATTTGGGAAAGGGAAAAAACAAAACTCCTTTATAAACTCCATGTGAACTTCCTTCTACAGTGGGTTCATGGGAACTTCTCAGACAGTCAACTCCCAGCATCATCTGTAGGCCACCTGAAATCTCACGGAAAATTCGAGTATTGTTTTGGTAGATCTTCATTTTGCCAGAAAGGAGCTACTTTTTCAAAATTTACTGGGAGCCTCATATTTAAATGAAATGGCATTTACTCTCAGTAAGGAACAGTACTAGACGCTACAATTACCATGCCAGCGTTCCCACCACAGCTCAACATTTACTAACTGGGTAAACTTGAACAAGTTACATCCGTCTGTACTTCAGTTTATTCCTTTATAAAACAAGAGTCTCAGGGCTGGGGGTTTAGCTCAGTGGTGCTTTCACCTGCCTCACAAGCACAAGGACCCAAGTTCAAACCCCGGTATCCAAAAAATAAATAAATATATATATAATAAAATACGACTCTCTGCCTCAGAGCTGTTAGAAGTAAATGCATTATACAGTACATCCAAAGAACAGAGCATGGGGGTTTGTAACCAGTAAAGGAATCAATAAATGTTACTGCAATTAATGTGCTAAAAATTACCCACCATGAATGTAAGCCAACAAAGACCTGATGTCTACCAAGAACAAAAAAGGATATTCATTTTAAAAGGAGCTTACATGACTCTGTAATACTCTTAAAATACAATTTTTCCTCTGTTTATTAACCACAAATATTATGCTCAATTCAGATTATGAATATTTTAAATGTCCTAAAAATAAGTAGTTGCCACTGAAGAAATCATTAACCTCTAATTCCTAATCATCTAATAAGAACTAGAGAACATGGAGGCATTTTTTTCTCATTATAATAGCAGTAACAGTTTTACAGTCTCAAATACAGTTTTGCTCATACTCCTAGGTGTGGACCAAAGGTTCCAGCAAGAAAACCCTTGAGTGAAGGGTGTTATTTTTCACATTATATATGATTTTTAAACTTACAAAGCCTAGGAAACTTTTGGAACTAGTGGAAATGGGAACATTGACACTAAATATATGAGAATAAAAAGCAGAAAAATGGAAGATTGAAATTGACACAGTCAAAAAAAAAAGTGTGCCTCATTATGTACCAAAGAGAACATAAAACTTCATTTCCTTGACATTGTCCCTCCTTATAATCAAACTTAGGAGATAGACAAATCAACCACCCAAATACCTATAAAACCAATGAGATCACCGAACTACACTGTTCACACAGGCAACTCCTTTTTCCAAGCAGAAATCCATCCTATAGAGAAAAAGTACAGCAGCTTTCAGTAAACAAGATCAACATCAGGGATGCCAAGAGCACAATTGTGGACAAAGCACAGTACTTACAAACGGCTGAGGTGCACCTTTTGGTTTAAAAAAGATGAACTGTCTAAGTTGTCAATTGAATCAATGTTTTTCTCTTAATTCCTTTTATAACCACTGGGAGATAATGTTTAAACCAGAGTGGGGACTTATGCCCAAAATATACTCACAGTCTATAACTCTAGTTCCCTATGTCACTGCTCTTTCACCAACGACATAAGCTTCTCAGTAGAAGCTGCATATTTGCAAATACCCTCCTGATGTTAGCATTATATATGATTAAGGAAAAAACTTAGAGGCAACTTCAAAAAGAAGAGAAGCCTTTCTCACCTTTTCCCATTTAACTTCTCTATACATAGCATCATAGTCAGTAACTATTTACTGAGATTTCAATAACTGACTGGTGTATGTGTGAGTAATAAACACAGTATGCTCCTTGGTTAGCAAGATTTAAGTGACAAGGCATATTTTGAGAACACATAGAAATGCTTCACAAAGTTTCCAGGCTTTGATGCTGTAACATCTGACAGGAGACACAGCCAGGAATGAGCACCTCAGGAGAGCAGGACCTGCGAGTTCTCTGTAGCTGTGAGGCAGGAGCACCTTGGGAAAGGGGCATTTTACAGCTCTTTGTAGAAGGGGGAGCACCGTCCTCAGGAGTGGCTTTGTGCCTAGGCTTTAGATCTGTGCAGATCTTAAAAGTGAAGTAACAAAAATTATGAAATTGACATTTTTAGATCTATGGTTTTATACAACAAATCCGAACTTCATCTAAGAGAAATTTGCAATGAAGACCCCGTTAAATTTTATACCAAATGATTCATAATGATTCATTCCAAAGTAACAAAAAGCATTTTCCCAAGAGAGGTATAAAAACAGGTGTGGCTTTCAAAAAAAAAAAAAAAAAAACCAACAACAGCTTTTCTCTGTCATAAATTTAAAACTCACAATATGCTCTCAACCTTAGACTTTTTAAAAATCATTTTCCTTCTTTAGGGAAAACTCAGTAAAATTTCTGCAAATAATATGTAACAAAGCTAATGGAGAAAAGAAAAAAAAAAAAAACAGCCAGTTTCCAGCCAAAAAAGACGAACAAGGAAAAAAATGAACCTTTTCAAAAGCATTTAGAACCTCATTCCAGCTACCTGTACTAAGCTCTATTCTCCTCCCAAAATACGTCACTTAACTGTCTGTCAGAATAACTCTTGCCCATTCTACCTGATCACACTCCCAAGCTGCAGCTTTGCCTGGATTCCTTCTCAGCGACAAGCTGCTGAGAGAGCACCTATTAAAATGAATATGATCATCTGCCGCTCCTCTCTCTCCTCCTTTCAGGGCATACTGCTGTCCATCAGGAGAAGTAATTAATGTGTTTATTATGTATGAAAGCGTCATGGCATCAGTTTGCTGTCTGATTTGAATAGCTCCTATCAGCTCTTCATTCATGCCAAGTATGCTCACTGTCCAGAGATACGATAAAGCCGTACTTCCTTTTGGATTTTTCCCTTACTATTCAAACACCAGCACACCAGAACTATGTCACAGAAACACAAGGAGGACAGGAGAAATCCCTTCACCATTTGCAGAAAGGAAGCTAATGGACTGAAAAGTTGGTAAGGAGAAAACCAAGGGGAAAAGAGGGGTGCAAGAGAACATCCATGCTTGTGGTTGAGATTAAGAATTCTAAAGCAGCATAATTTGGGAGCATGTGTAATTTTGAAATATGGACAAGCAGAACTTTTCCAGAGGGTAAAACATCTATAGAAACAACCAAGATTTCTCTCTGCTGAAACATTCAATGAATTTTTAATACGTTCTGGACACTGTGGTTGGGTCAAATACTGTTATCTGATAAACGGAAATTCACCATTCGGTTTCTACAATCCTATTCAAATGGAGTCTTCATCTGTTGCCTACTGTCCTAGCTGATACTATGAGATCATCAGGACTACAGGCAGAGACCACTGCAAGAAATAAGATGTACTGGTAAAAGCAACACCAAAAGAGAGCAGAAGAGGCATTTCAGGGATCGAAGCCTCCTGTTTCCAGCCAGAGTTCAAATTACTGAGCTTCAAACCAACCACTGCCAGGTAAGATTTAATTTTATATTAATTTATGGCTTGAATTTAAATCTGCTGTTGTGCGAATGAGCCAGGAGATTTGTGGTGTTTTTCTTAAGCTGTATGAAGATTTAAGCCTTCTAAGGTAAACACTTATGTCCACTTACGCTGCCTAAATAAGTCACTTATAACTAAGATAATAAAATATCTCAAAACCCTATGCACTTTGCACTGGATCAATCCCATCTTCATTTGCATTTTTTAATTTATCTAGTAGTTTGGAAAAAATGCAAGAAAGGGAAACCGACATGGTGCCTGAGACAGCCATTCACAGATGCTTTTTATCAAGCATTCAAAAGAACTTTGTTTCCCAGGGCACTTGGCAAAACACAGAAAAATTAATGAGCACTTTTAATATTACTGTTAATGTAAAAGAACAAAGTTCAAGGACTGATTTTTATTTTTAGAGAAAAAAATAACTGTGATGTCACTGTCATTCACACTAGAGAAAAAAAAAAAATCTCTAGTAAACTAACACTACTAGAATGGGGCTAATCTACCCTAAAGATACTGGGCATATTTTTTAACAGATTAAATGAGGACCCTTTTCTGATTAACAACCAAACAAAAAAGGGGTCTGTTATGTTAAAACCTCAAAAGTTCTGACACAGATCAATGGTCCAAACTGCAAAATGAGAAGAACTAGGGAAGCCATCAAAGAATTTCAAAGGGGTATAGTGCCTTTTAGAAATTCCCTAGAAATCAGTTTATAATGAGCCTTCTAGAGAGACTATCATGTAAAAGAAGAAGGCAAGACAGAAAGAAAAGAAGGGGGGGGAATGGGGGAAAGAGAGAGAAAGAGTGAGTCAGACCTCCTTTACCTGGTGATATTTTAATTTCCCACATAAAATGCAATCATTTTTACAAAAGTTCAATTGAAAAAGTTAGGTTCATACCACAGTGTTGCCATAAAGAAGCCCTACAATAAATAATCTTAGAAGAGAGAAGACAAAGAAAACAAAAAGAATCATACCTAATTTCAGAGATCTTCCAATACAAGAAAAACTATCAAGAATAATTATTTAATAGTTGTTCTACAGTCAAATTTGAAATTCTTTTCTTCCACTTCACTGCACTCTTTCCTTTTTTCAAATTTGAGTCAAGACAGTAAAATACACAATCCCTTTACTCTTTCCAAGGCAGTCTATAAATAACCTTAAATGCCATAAACCCCTTGCATTTCAAGTCATTACAGAAATTCACCTGTCATTTTCCACTACCTAAAGAAAGCAGTCATTTAAATAAAATAGTACATACTATATCAATTTGTTTCAGAGAAAAAAGGTTCAGAAATTTCAAAAGTATTTTGTTTATGCACCAGCCATAACTAAATGTATTGATTTTACTTACCTATGAGCCTTATGTGAACCTTTAATGGCTCTTTTATTTCTTCCCTCCTTATGGTGATATATACTATAAACTGGACATATTTCAAAATATGCATATAACCTAAGTGAAAAAATACCAACTGATATCTCAAATCATAATTAGAGGTTTTTATTCAACTTGGGCAAAAAAAAAAAGCGATTTACAACATTGTGTTCAATTTGCTTCTAATAACCAGAATTAAAAGGGACATGAAATAGGATTTCTGTAGTCATCTGAAATGTTCTCAGTGTGATGTAAACAGACTCCTGCCTCACTAGCGGTGGACTTGGGCTGCCCCGCTCCTTCTCCAGTGATGCTCAGTGGGCGAAGGAACACAATCCCACCCCACCCTAGACCCTGCTGCTGTCAGCTTTCATTTCCTTTCCTATCTAAATTGAGGCTTTTCTCTAACAATCCATTCTGAAAAATGACTAATGCAGTTTCATCACCAGTTTTCAAAAACTCCTAAAGCAGCAGCTAGTTTTTAACTCAGTATTTATCAATGTGCTAAAAAAGTTGAAAATCCCTTTAACTTCAGCACCTTGTAGGTAAATGGGTGGGTAGGGCATCTTATCCAGTATCTAAAGATTTGCTCTATTTATGGTAGTTTTCCCCTGGCATCAATAGATTTAATAAACAAGGTTCAGAAAATTCTTGGGGAGTATTTCAATGACTATTTCTATAATATATAATGTATTATATTCACATATATAAATGTATTATATTGTAAAAGTAGTATGATTGTGTATTGGTTTCCTCCATAGAAATGTTTTGGCTTCTATATCCTTCTAATGAAATTATTACCACATACCCTTAAATTCTGAATACTTTAAGTCATCTGAAAGCTATAAGCTTTTTATTTAAACTTGGGAAAATAAAAATAGATACACAGTTCAAAACAGAGTAAATCCACTTAGCATCTTTGTTGAACAGCAATCTTTAAAGTCATTCTGTCTGAAATAATAAGCACTAAAGTTTTAGAATTAGAAATGTATTTAAAATTCATTCTTGTGCATTAACACTTAATGTATTTAAAGTATGTAGTGTCATTCTCTTTAAGTGTGTATTTACTCACATTGATAGTCACATCTTTCAAACATTCACCTAAATTTTTTGAAAGACTTTTTCATTCCAGAATAATGGTAAAGTATTTCAAGCATAATGCAGTAGGGCATTTCTACTAGCCAGTATAATTATTGCTTGTTATGGCTGATATTCTTTATTAAGTGACCAAATTTGAATAGGGATGTAGTTCATCGTGAAGATTCATCTCCTCTCCAGCTTCTCCCTACTGGGAGAGAACAATCTTTGCCCTGTGATATCACAATCCGTGACTGGAGAAGGGGCTCTGGTATCCAACAGACAATTACAACCTTTCAATGGGAACTAGCTGCAGCGGAGGTGTCAGCACTGTCATTCCAAGTCCTACCACTGAGACACCAATGAGATGCACGGCAGCAAATGAACTAGTGAAAGATGCCTTTTTTGCATTTGCTACTTTTTCAGCATCAACTATTAAAGGTAAAGATACACGCTCACAGTGTACCTCATTAATGATTTGAAAGAATAAACATGTTAAATTCACAGATGAGGATAAAATGAGAATGAGGAAAATATCAGTAAGCAGACAAGAATGGAACAGGAAGCTAGGAGAACCAAAAGATAGGTACAAAATTCTACCTTGATTCAAATAAAAACAGTGATGCCTGCCACTCAAGAAATTAAGAAAAATTATCACTATACCCCAAATAGTAATCTCGTTCTCATTGAAAAGCAGTGTCACTCCCAAGTATACATTTAGAGATCTCATGACATAGATTAATTAGTATGTGACACCCAAACACTGAAACGTGAGGGCAGAGAGGAAGGTGGTTAATACCCTTCTAAGAAATCATGAATTCATAAAAGAGGAATCATATTAATTAGCAAAACTATGCTCTATAAGTCTTCACGAAAATTTACAGAAAAAGAGTAAGTTGTTAGGATTTAAGACTCAACAAAGGAAACAAAAATGAAAGATTCTCTTTTAAACACATACACATACATAGACCATGTTTCCTCTTTTTATCATCTTTGTTCTATAGCTAGCTGCCAAAGGACAAAGCAGACTGACCAATCCTTTTGGACACAGATTTACTCTTAGATTACTAGCAATCGCCCCAATTCAAAATGCCAGTCATCTGTGGCAGCCTTCTTGACTCAGGGCATAGATAAATATTATACATACAAAATACCACCACCACCACACATACCCATAAGCCACGCCGGAATCTCATTATCTATAGTAACACAGTTTGAGGTGATGGTATGTCAGAGATTTCTTAAAGCATTCATCTACTCCTATGTACTAGTTCATTAAAATCACTGCAACCAATGTATTTGTCAACAGCTGAAAGATCCTCCATTGTGCTGGAAATACCAGCAAAATAACTCAAGAATCCAGACCAATCAGAGAACACTTTGTATAGATTTTATTATTTAATGTCACACTTCTGTCATCATCAGAGTATGTGAATGTTCCTATTTACTTATCATAAAGAAATGTGGTAGGGAATAATATTCTCCGTAAGTAGCAAAATCCAGGGACAATGGCCAGTTCATTTATCCCAATATAAAGCTTTAACTGTTTACAGAACTCTTTTGGTACAATAATCTAGATCGGCTGGTTGGTCCATATATACTATCATGCTTAATACTGTATATGACATGGTGCTACTCTGATATTTAATCTATCAACTGCTTATTTTCATATGTGTTGCAAGGACACAGTCCTCTACATACAGTAATTTCTGGGTAATTTGTGGTACGTAATGCCTATAAACCTCCTTAGTGCTTTCATAATGCCTTTCTTCTAACACTAAGACTGCATTGAAAATCTACGGAGCACTTGTCTTGCTTATGGAATTCTGCATTCTTTTGTGCGAGGGTCTCAACAATAAAGACCACATCTCATTTGTCCATTGTTCAAGGCAAGTCAGAACTAGTTCAGCTATCGGCTTATTGAATGAATGTGAAAAAAAATCAAGTATTCTCTCAAGTACAATCTTAAATAGGCAGAAAAACAATGATCCTAGAATATACCTGTTTCACTTCACTGCTAATGGGCAAGCAGATAAACCACAGAAAAATCTCAATGTGGGGGTTGGAACAGTCACACTGAAATAGCTATAAAGAGATCATACTGCATTATGAGTGGGGTAAATACAAGACAGCAAATTTATCCCTTACATTTTTGCTGTACTTGGCACATGGAAATCACATGCCCAGTAGAATTCCAAATGATCTTGTTATTAAAAAGTGATTACAGCCGGGCATGGTGGCGCACACCTGTAATCCCAGCACTCGGGAGGCTGAGGCAGGAGGATCGCTGTAAGTTCCAGGTCAGTCTCAACTACATAGTGAGACCCTGTCTCAAAAAATAAATAAATAAATAAAATAAAAAGTGATTACAGAAGATCGGAAACACTTTGCAAAAGAAATTAAGGAGATAGGAGATATTACAATCAGTTTTCTACTTAAAGATGAGAGAAGCAAAACTAACATTCTCCCTTTCCCTTCTTCCCCTCAGAACCTAATGCCACTATCTAAGTCAAACCTCCTTT